CTTACTAGAACCTCACCAGGAAGCTGAGGCAGACACTGGGAGCTGAGGGGCTGGTTGCAGACAGAATAGCAGCTTCCCTCACACATCGAGGGGGTGGGCCGCCTGCCGCCACTGAGCTTGTCCTGTTTCTAACACTGGCTGCTTGGAAATGGGACTCCCCTTGCACCACCGAGCTGCTGTGTTCCTTCTGTGGCTGTGCTAAAATGCCAGGAAGCTGGAGGAAAATGCCACAACCAGGTTGCTCCTTCCACGCCACCCCGGGGGTCCCTGCTGCGGGAAGATGCCGGCTCAGGTGGCCCAGGTTTAATCTCAGCTGTCTGAAGTCTGTCACAAGCCACACTGAGCCTGGGGGAGCTTTGCAGACACTTCCCTGCGACTTACAGGAATTCAATTTCTGGCCTGGCCATTAATCTGGAGCCATCAGCGTGCGCCCGCGGGTGGAGGTGGGGGCGAGCTGAGTGGCTGAGGACAGGATTCGGAAATCAATCCGGCACAGCGTGAAGAGGTCGTCTAGGGGAATTTATCTGCCAAATGGGCTGAGGCACTCGGCGCGACAGTCAGGGACACCCCTACATCCAATGGAAGTGTCTGCTGTGAGCCAGCATGAGGGAGAGCCCGGCAGGCCTGGGAAGCAGCACTTTATCATCTAATAACTCGCTGGGGACAGCCCGGGCTCAGGTCTGCCTGGAACCAACCCGCTTCCTGGACTCCTCCCTGCTGGGTGCTGCCATGGTCATCTGGGGGTCACACTTTTCGTGACAGAGCTGGCATCTGACCTGCACGGTAATGTTTTTGAAGAACTCTGCGTCAGCTCAGGCGTTGCTACAGCATTACAAGCCTGTCTGGGGGCCAGGGCCAGGGAGAATGGTATTGTGACATAGTGAGTAAAGCCACTGCCTACGGGGGCCAGCGCAATGGCTCCTTTGGCCAATCTTCCCTCCTTAAGCACCAGGATCCCAAATGCACAGTGGTTTGTGTCCCGGCAGCCCCAGTTCCCATCCAGCTCCCTGCCTGTGGCCTGGGAAAGCAGTGGAGGATGGCCTAAAGCCTTGGGACCTGCACCTGCGTGGGAGACCCAGAGGAGGCTCCTGGCTGCAGATCGACTCAGCTCCTATGTGGTTGTAGCCATGTAGGGAGCAAATGGCTCCTGTTGCAGCCATTGGGGAGCAAATGACTCCTATTGGATTTCTAAGCAGCAAAAACACAAACACACACACACACACACACACACACACACACACACACACACACACACTGTCACCTGCTTTGTAATATCCCACACCAGCCTGGGATTCTGTCATCAAGAAGGCTGCCACCAGAAGACAAAACCAATGTCCCCACTCCTCCCAGCTTGGACTCTGAAACTTCTGGAACCATCCGTCAAAACACAGCTTTTCTCTCGAGATTGTTGTTTGTATATTAAAATGGCTGGCCCCGTGTGATGAAGCATCCGGGCAGAGCGTGACACAACTGCTTGTGCGACACCAAAGAAGCCACGGGACCCCCAAGGAGGCTCGCACAGCCCGAGTGTGAGTCCCTGGGCGAGTGAACCGCAGCCTCAGTTTCCTCGCTTCTCAGCCGGCAGTCTGGAGGCTTCCCAGAGCTAATCCATTCGCTGTGCTCACCGCCTCAGTTCAGAGCAAGCGCTCGAAAAATGCCAGCGGCTGTTTTGCTGGCAAAGGCAGAGAGCCGACGCTGTGCTCTGCTGCCTGGCACTCATGGCAGAAAGCGGAGTCAAGAGGCCTTTATGAAGGGGTGTGAGTGATGGGCTCCATGACGGGGCGGCGGCTGCTGGGAGAGCAGGTGCAGGTCAGCCTGGAAGCCACAGGGGCTTAAACAGACACGATGGATGAGCAGGAATCAGCAGGCTGCAGGCACAGGCTGAGAATGCCTGCTCACCCTGTTCGCCTTTCCTGGGCATCCACTGTGTCCCAGGTCCAGCTCCAGGCCCTGGGGAGCCACAGCCCAGCAGACAGGCAGAGTCTCCCCGCCACTTGCCACAGTTCTTCCCCTGTAGGAAGAGGCAGTGCACGAGGGGGGATGTGGAAGTTGTTCAGGGAGGTGTTGACGCTACAAGGGGGAGGATGGAATGTTCTCTGAATTTATCCGCCATATCCTCTGGGGACCCCAGAGGCAGCCTGCACCTCCCACACTGTCCAGTCCTCCAGCTTTCAGCAAAATCCGGCCCAGGAAAGAGAGGTTGGGAGGCAGGAAGGAGGGAGGCCTAGGGTGTGTACACACACACACACACACACACACACACACACACACACACATGTCTCCTCTCCCCTCAGGCGGTGACTCAGTGGGCGCTGGGGTCCTAGCCTGCTGTTGATGGAGCAGCCAGCCCCTGCCCACAGCTCCCTGCTGACGCACGATGCACACCCTGCCTCATCTGTGCTTGGGTTGAGTTCCCAGTTGCTGGCTTCAGTTTGGCCCATCCCTGGCTTTTTTTTTTTTTTTAAAGTTTGTTTTTATTGGAAAGGCAGAGTCAGAGAGAGCAGAGAGAGAGAGAGAGAGATCTTCTATCCACTGGTTCACTCCCCAAGTGGCCACAATGGTCAGAGCCAGGAGCCGCTTCTGGGTCTCCCACGCGGTTGCAGGGTCCCAAGGCTTTGGGCCGTCCTCCACTGCTTTCCCAGGCCACAGGCAGGGATGAGAAGTGGAGCAGCCGGGACACAAACAGATGCCCATATGGGATCCCAGCACTTGAAGGGGGTTGATTAGCCAATACATCCATCACACTGGGCTTTCCCCACCCCCGCCTCCCAAAGGTCCTAACGATCTCATTTTACAATACTTATTAGTTTATTTCAAAAGTGGACAGAGATGGAGAGGGACCATCTGCCCATGAGATCACTCACCTGGGGCTGGGAGCTCTAACCCACCCTAGTACCTGGATGGCAGGGAGCCAAGGACCTCAGCCATCGCCGGCTGCCTTCCAGGGAGTCAATGAGATCTGGGAGCTGGATTAACAGCAAAGCAGCTGTACTCACCCCAGGCAGTCCCATGTGGGATCTGGGAATCCTATGGGGGAAGTGGGAGTGCCACGCGGGATATGGCAGTCTCACGTGGGATGTGGCAGTCCCATGGGGGAAGTGGCAGTCCCATGGGGCGTGTGGCAGTGCCATGCGGAGAGTGGGAGCCCCACACAGGAGGTGGGAGTCCCATGGGGCATGTGGGAGTGCCTGTGGAGGGTGGGAGCCCCAGGCAGTGACTTGGCTGTTGAACCACACTTCCCTAGCCTTTAAATTCAGTCACATCCTGTGGTTATGGGGTGTTAGGAGTTCCATGTAGGAATTTTGGGGAGACACAGCCTGTAGCCATATGAGAGCAGGAGAGGGTTAGGTGGCGGGAGGTCAACTTGCTGAAACAGAGATTAGGAGGGTCAGCGGCCAGCCCTAGGCCTGCACATCAGGGGCTGCCTCAGCCCAGCCGCTGGAGTTCTCCAGGAGTTGCAAAGAAATGGATCTTAGAGACAGAAAACAGCTCTAGCTGCGAGGCACACGCGAGGACAGTCATGGCCACCAGGCTCCCCTTGTGAGAGAGAACAAGTCACTTGAAGGGAATTGATCCCAGCTAAGTGGGAGCAGCTGCTTGCTGGCAGCCAAAGCTGCTGAGGAGAGAGGCCCGTTCCCCCACCCTCCAGGGCCTGGATGGAGCCAGGGATTGTTCTGCCAGGTGGCGGTGGTGACGCAGCGGTGGCGGTCTCAGGCCTGCAATCAGCCCACATTGTGGCTATCCACACTAAACAGGAGGCTGAACTCCAACTGCAGCCTCTGCACTTGGTGGAGACCGGCCCCGGCGTCATCACGATTGTTACTGACAGCCAAGCCCTGCCGGGTGCCAGGCGCTGTGTGCAGGACCCAAGCTCAAGGGACCTCACCGCACTGCCCAGCCGTGTGGCCGCTGGCAAGTGCAGCTCCACTTCCCCACTGGGCAAATGGGACAGTCACAGAAACTTTCCGGGATGTCCCCAGGTGTCATTGCAGCGGCTGGAGGATGGAGAGGATGAGCATCGGGGGACGTTAATGGTTCACCAACGCCTGCTGAGAGCTCACAGTCTGGAACGTTCCGAGGAAGCTCATGGAAAAGTTGGGTTAAAATACACAAGCAGGGGCACGCTGCTTGCAGTGCGATGCCGAGCTACACTGCTCCTGAGGATGCCCAAAGCGCATTCCAGAATGTCTGGGCTTCAGCCCCTCCGCTGCGCCAGCATCCCATAATGCACAGGGGAGACACTTCCCTTCTTTACCATTTTAAAAATTATTTCTTTATTGCGATTGGCACAGTGGCACAATATGCAAATCCTCCGCCTGCAGCATTGTATCCCGGTTGCTCCACTTCCCACCCAGCTCCCTGCCTGGGAAAGCAGTGGAGGACGGCCCAAACCTTTGGGACCATTCACCCACGTGGGAGACCCGGAAGAAGCTTCTGGCTCCTGGCTTCAGACTGGCCCAGCTCTGGTTGTTGTGGCTATCTGGGGAGTGAGCCAGTGGATGGAGATTTTCTCTGTTAACTCTTCAAGTAAAATAAATCAATCTTTTGCATTTTTATTTATTTGAGAGGGAGAGAGAGAGAGCTTTAACACTTCCATTTACTGGTTCACTCAATGATGGAGACCAGGGCCCCCACCCAGGGTCTCCAGCTACATGAGCCACCCCCCACCCCATCTCCCAGGGCCCCCATCCAGGGATCCCAGCTACTTGAGCCACCCCCACCCCGTCTCCCAGGGTCTCCAGCTACTTGAGCCATCCCCCACCCCATCTCCCAGGGCCCCCATCCAGGGACCCCAGCTACATGAGCCATCTCCCCGTCTCTCAGGGCCCCAATCCAGGGAACCCAGCTACATGAGCCATTCCCTCATTTCCCAGGACCCCCATCCAGGGACCCCAGCTTCTTGAGCCATCCCCCACCCCATCTCCCAGGGTCTCCAGCTACATGAGCCATCCCCCCGTCTCCCAGGACCCCCATCCAGGGCCCCCAGCTACTTGAGCCACCCCCACCCCGTCTCTCAAGGCCCCCATCCAGAGCCCCCAGCCTCTTGAGCCACCCCCACCCCATCTCTCAAGGCCCCCATCCAGAGCCCCCAGCCTCTTGAGCCACCCCCACCCCATCTCTCAAGGCCCCCATCCAGAGCCCCCAGCCTCTTGAGCCACCCCGTCTCCCAGGGTCTCCATCATCAGGAAGTTTGGGCTGGGCATGCAACGCAGGCACTCCAAAGCGGGACATTCTCTCCATGCCCAAATTCTCATTATATAAAAAGTCCTTGGTACTGGCCTGTGCACATATTTCCAACAGCTACCTACCTACTGGTTGTTGTGGGGACTTATACCAAGACCTGGGCCTTTAGCTGGCTGGTCTCCAACAGCTCAATAAACCTCTTTTTGTCTTTTTTTTTTAAAAGATTTATTTTTGTTTTTATTGGAAATGCAGGTATTCAGAGAGGAGGAGAGACAGAGAGGAAGATGTTCCATCTGATGATTCACTCCCCAAGTGACCGCAAGAAACCAGGAGCCAGGAGTTCCTTTGGGTCTCCCACACGGGTGCAGGGTCCCAAGGCTTTGGGCCGTCCTCCACTGCTTTCCCAGGCCACAGGCAGGGAGCTGGATGGGAAGCAGAGCAGCCGGGATCAGAACCAGCGCCCATACGGGATCCTGGTGCGCTCAGGGCAAGGAGCTTAACTGCTATGCTATCGCGCTGGGCCCAAACCTTTTGTTTCTAAGAATCCTCAGCCTCAGGAGCTTTGGGTTAACACCAGCCAACAGACCTGCCGCCTCTCAGAATTGTTCTGGAGGTTAAATGAATGCTGGTGCGCTCGGAACTGACAACTCTTCGTAGCAACTGCCCTGGGTCGGCCACTGGAATGATTATCCCCATTCACCTCACGGCTGCTGAGGGATGACAGGCACGCAGACGGTAAGACAGGTCAGGGAGGAAGAGTCAAGTGGCAAGAGCTGACACGTCCTCAGGGACTGACAGAGACATTCTAGAAGGTTCCACGGTGGAAATTACACAAGGAGCCTGAAGGGCTGAGAGAGACATCAGATAGCAACCGCCCCAAGACAAAATGAAGAGCTGCTAGGGGTGCTGGGGGTGCAGGTGCTCCACAGCTGAGGTCACCAGCAGGACACTGGGTCAGAAGCTGCCTATGACAGGCGTGTACTGCAGCCAGGATGGGGAAGACAGGAGCTGAGAGAGTGCAGCAATCCCATGGTTCCTCTCTTGCCCCACTCCCAAGCCCCCAGCACAGCAGGAAGCAATGGAAATGTCCTTCTCGAGGGTCCACTCCCTCATCACCCACAGCCCAATGGGAAGAGTAGGGATGGACAAGCGTATGAGCAGCACACGGGACTCAGAGCCCAAGCTTCCTCTATTTGAAGTGGTCTTAAAATGCATGGGATGTGGGCCCAGCACCACACTCAACTGGCTAACCCACCTCTTCAAGCGCCAGCATCCCATTACAGGCACGGTTCCTCACCCCGCAGCCCCGCTTCCCATCCAGCTCCCTGCTTGTGGCCTGGGAAAGCAGTGGAGGACGGCCCACAGCCTGGGGACCCTGCACCCGCGTGGGAGACCCAGAGGAAGCTCCTGCCTTGGGATCAGCACAGCTCCGGCCCTTGCGGCCGCTTGGGGAGTGAACCATTGGACAGCAGATCTTCCTCTCCGTCTCTCCTCTCTGCATATCTGCCTTTCCAATAAAAATAAATACATCTTTTTTTTGTTTGTTTGTTTGGTGCAAACAAAATTAGAGTGGGTGAGGGTTGTTTGGGCTTAGCCACAGCATCAGCTGGCAGAGGCTGGCACTGGGGGCTAGTTCTGTCAAGTCAAACCACAGAACTATCTGGAGAGTGCATAATCTGGGAGTGGGAGAGGCCTGGGAGGGAAATAGTGGGCTCATCCCTCTTGAGTTACCACTTCCACGGGAGGACATAAAACTAAGACAGCGGCTGGAGTGGAATGGGGTGTGGGACAGACTGGATTACTGCTACACATACTGGCAAACCAGGGTAGGGGGCGGGCCTGGTGGGGGTTATTGCGAGTCGCTCCAACTAGGCTGCAGCTCCCACTGGTTTATGTGAGGGCCACATATGTGCTGGGCAGAACCAGGCTGGACTGCAACACCCATTGGTTCCAGTGGAAGTCGGCAGTGAAAACAGAACCAACCCAGCAATTACAACTACCAGCTGATCAGGGCGATGGACTGTGCTGGGCCCTGTACTTGCTAGCACATACAAGAATCTAGTTTGAGAACACCTCAGACAAAGTTTCTTTGGAGATCTTCCTAATCTAAATGCTGGACTCAAAACCCTTACCAAGAAAAGAGAGAAGACAGAACAGGTCAACCAACCATCTCAGCTATGATGGATTATGTCAATCAGTGGATTTTTCGAAGACCTCATAGTGCTTGGGATGGCAAGATTGGCAGCGATTCATAACTGTTGGAAATATTAAAACCACTTGAGCAAGATCCTCAGAGCATGCCCTACATCCGAGACCTGGGGAGGGTGGGAAATTGGGTGGGCCTTCTCCCTTAATACCCCCCTTTAAACATGAAGGAAACAATATGGAAAAAATACTAGTCTTATCCACTTTCCCGTAGCCCTTGAACCTTTTTACCCTAATTAACTATGTAAGATTGTCAAAATAAAAAAAATAAACTAAAAAAAAAAAGAAAGAAAACGTAAAACAAAAAAGAAAGAAAGAAAGAAAATTTAAAAAGAAAGAAAAAGAAAAGAAATTGGCTAGGCTTAAGCAGCAAGGCTGGAACTACAAACTCAGGGCCGTGTGGCTTTGGATGCTGGGGTCTCTACTCTGCAGACCCTGCTAGCTGTCCCAGGCCTCCTCGAACTCATGCCTCCTTCGGAGTTCAGAGTAACACACCCCACCTCCCAGAAGCCTTGTTCATCCTCGAAGGCCGGTCAGGGCCCCTCCCGTGGGGTGTCTCTGCACAGCTCTCCACCCTTGTCTCACAAGGTCCTCGCACTTTGTCCTTCTCCTTGTCTGGGTGTGTGTCTGGGAGCCTCATCGGCTGGGAACTCCAAAACAGTGGATTCAGCCTCCCTTTGTCTCAATGGCACAGAGCTGACGTGTGCCGGGAAGTCAGGAAGACATTGGGGCATGGATGAATGCTCGCGTGCATGTCCAGTTGTCCGTGGGACCCCCGCCTTTTAAAGGATTGATTGGTTAATTGATTTGAAAGGCAGAGCAGTGAGGGGTGCGAGAGAATCTTTCATCTGTTGGTTTGCTCCTCAAGTTGATACAGTAGTCAGGTCTGGGCCAGGCTGAGCCAGCAACCTGGGACATGGTGGCAGGGGCCCGAAGACTCAGGCCTGCACCTGCTGCTTCCCAGGTGCACTAGCAGGAGGTTGGACTGGAAGCAGGCAGCTGAGACTCGAACCCATGCCTCAATACAGACGGCCAGTGTCACAAGTGGAGGTTTAAACCCCCGTGCCACAGCACCTGCCTCGCACTGCTCTAACCCTTCTTCCTCTCCCCTGCTGGGAAGAATCCAGGGGCTCTGAGTCTCCCCTGGACTGACCGTGAAGTCTAAAGCGGCTGAGGGCAGCCCTGGACCCAACTGGAGCGCAGAGCCCAGCTCCTGCACACTCCAGCTGGGTGACCTTGGGCGGACGACATAACCTCCCTAGGCCTCACTTTGCCCAGATATCAAGTGGGGTGAAAACACCTCCTTTCTTCGAGGCCATGGGAGGATTAACTGAGCAGTCCTGGCCTGTTGGTGGGAGGAGGGATGGGGGACAGCAGTCATCTTCTGCAATTCCCAAGCAGGGTTGGGCGCCAAGGGCTGAGGCTCCGGAGGTCACCAGGGAATCGGAAAGATTCTCTGCTGTGTCGGGGAGCCTGGGCCAGCTTGGCACGCATTTCCTTCTGAGAGAGCAGGTTCTGGCATGACATCTGAGCTGTGATTGGCACAAATGCCTGGTGCTCCTATGACATACAGCCTGCCTCTCCCCGCTGCCCAGCCACAGCTGTGGAGCCAAGGTGTGTGCTGGCAGGTGCGGCCTCCACAGGTCTGCCTTTGGCTCTTGGGAGCCATCACACCTTGGCCCTACGTTAACAATTGTAAAAGAACTTCCATCCCCTGGCTTACTGCTCACATGCCTGCATCGGGCAGGGCTAAGGCGGACCGAGGGCAGGGGCTGAGCACTCAAGCTGCCTTCCCGGTGTAGATCGGGAGGGCGCTGCAGTGGACACGGGTGGCGTGTTAACTGCCAGGCCCATGCCTTTCGGTTTATGTGTTAATTTTCGCAAAGCAGCTTCCTCCCCACCATGTCAGGCAGTGGCTTCCTGTTTTCGTTCACTGCAGCGTTGTCAGCACCTCAAACAGAGCGCTTTGCTCACCAGAAGGGCACTCGGTGTTCATCTGCTATTTTTAAAAATCCGCACAACCCAAGCAGGCACTTGGCTTCGCACCTGCCACACCAGTTAGGGTGCCCGCATTCCGTGTGGAGGGTCGGCGGGTGCTGCAACCTCTCTGCTTCCCACCGAGCCTCAGGCTCATATGTGCCCTGGGTGCTGGGTTCCTGCCACCTGTGTGGTTTCACCCAGCTCCTGGCTTCAGGTTGTCTCAGCACTGGCTATTGTGGGCACCCGCGGGGGAACCCACGGATGACAGCAGGTACATGCACATGAGTGGGGCCGGGGAAGCTGTGTCGACAGAGGCTCAGGCCCACTTGGCATGATCGGGCCGGGTCTGTGAGTGTTGGGGAAGCCATGGGCCGGCCCCAGTAGGTGTGAGCAGATGTCTGGGTGTGAATGTGTGTATGGCCAAGCACCCGAGGATGCAGCTGTGTTCACACTGAAGGGGTGTGTGTGTGTGTGCGCGTGTGGTGGGCCAGCTGACAGGCCCGGATGAAGCTGGACCCTCAAGCTGAAGGAAAGCAGAGGGTGAATGTACAACCCCATCAGCCAGAGACCCGTTATTTATAGATGGATCCTGGTTCATAAATTCCAAATGTTTTTTTTTTTATCTCCCTCACTGCTAGGCCCTTATAAATATTCATGAGTTGGCTGCCTTAGAA